ATACCCTAGTTAATTTTCTCATCTTGATAACAACCGAAATTGACTTTTGTTTACTGATTACTTACTGAATTCTTACAATTTGTTGCACAAATCCCCCCTTTTTTATTACTTGTTTCTGGAAGTACTTTGGCTAATTGAATATAATTGTTGGTTAAAGTAAAGTCTGAACCATTTTCCTCGTGGGATCGACCCCAACCTACAAGTTAGGTTCTTTACTTGATAACGATCGCTTATACTTCTTTAGGGAGGTGTAATTTGAGCGTATCAAAAGGTAATATTCAAAATTACAATAACTACAAAGAAACTAAGCTACTAAGACAAACTGTTAAAATTTGATAAAGAGTGGACCAGATAAAGATGCGGAGGGGTGTTCTATCTCCAAGAACCAATTGAGATTTATGTTGGGGCGAACAAAAGTAATTCATCGTGTAAGAAGAATGTTGGAGCATTATAGGATAAGAAAAGACTTCTACATGATGTTCATGACCTCAAAAAGACATGATAAAATTTCTAAAGAGGTTCATGGAAATGTTTGAAATGTAAAGATGTACTTGTGTCTCACATCATGACCATTAATGATATGTATGATGACATCGAGTTTTAAGTAATGAAGAATAAATGGAGTGACTCGTAACAATGTTCAATTATGATAGGATCACACTAGAGATCATCCTTTATCCGTTTTCATTTACATTAGTGATAGATAAATTAATGTGACATATTAAAGGAGACGTGTCATAGTGCATATTGTTTGCAGATGACCTGTATTAATTAATGATACAGATTGGAGTTAACAATATAATCCAGTTTGAAAACATATCCTAGAATCTAAAGATTTTCAGTTAAGTAGGACTAAACAGAGTACTCAAAATGCAGGTTTAGTAACATAACACATAAAACAAAGGTAGAAATGAAGGTAAAAAAATTCAAACAGACTGAGTATCACACTTCATATATTCAGTTTGTGTGACATGATTTTATTTTTAATTTGTTTTTATAAAGTGACATTTCTTATGTGTTATGTTAATAAATTTGCATTCTAAGTTCGAGTACCAATTGGAGTTTGATTTCTTTCTTCAATTTATTAAGTCCAAAAATAATAAAATTCTAAATTTAAAAGTAATCCAAGTATAAACCTTTCATTATTATTACTATATAATAGATGTGAATAAATAAGCAAGCAACATTCCGTCAACATGCTTGCTTGCTTATTCACATTTCAAACAAAATTGGGCCTACTTCTATTAATTTGCAATTGTATTTGCTTATACATAATTACATAGCAAAAAACATTGGGGCTACTTGAATATTGTCCATTTACCTTCCAATTGTGGACCCAGTGAATATTTGCAATTTCTTCCATTTGTTCATTTTAAATTTTGTATGCCTCTTAAATTTTAATTGATATGACTATTTTATCATATATTTATATTAATTGACATAACTATAGGTTTTTAAAAATGATTTGAAATAAGTAATTAATGTTGAGGGTAAAATATGATAAGAAAAAATAAAAAAACCTTGACATGCTAACTATGTAATTTTAAATAAATATTAATTAAGAAAATTAATAATTTATGTATTACTTTTTTTTTAATTATTCCATCTTCTCTCTTACATAAAAATATATATAATTTTTTATAATTTATACATGTATTAATTATGCATATTTTTAAATTTACATTATCAAAAAAATCATACTAAATAAGTACTACTTAAAATGTAGCAAATACCCATGTGATTTAAATTTAAACTTTTGGTTTAATTGTCCAAAATTCTATCATATTTTATTATTATTAGCTAAGAAATACATTTGCTTAATATTTCTCAATCTTTTTATTCATACATTCTCTTTGATTTTTGATGTTAATGTTAGGTCGTTGATATTATTAGTAGAAAAAAAATATTATTGTGTTTTAAAAATAAAAAATATAACGAATAAAAATTACAAATTTCAAATAATAATAATCCGCACTGGCTTCCCCTTTTCTAGTACTTATAAAAAGAAGAAATTTCACATACAGTCACTCAAAAATAGTCTAATTACGCTTTATAACTATAATTTAATAATTATAATTCGTAGCTACCTGTTATAGGGAGGAAAGAGGCGAGTGAGATTGGGAGAGTGACGAGAGAGACGAGCAAGAGAGGGCAGATAGTGGGAGAGATGTGAATTGTATATGTATATCGGTTAGATAATTGTATATTATACATATGTATTTGTATATATGGCAAGTGCGATTGAGAGAGGGGGAGAGAGATGAGCGAGATTGGGAGAGGGAGGAGAGAAGCGAGCGAAATTGAGAGAGGGAGGAGAGAGGCGAGCGAGAGAGGGCGGAGAGTGGGAGAAAGGTGAATTGTATATGTATATCGATTAGATAATTGTATATTATACATATACATTTCTATATATAGCAAGAGATATTGGAGAGGAAGGAGAGAGGCGAGCGAGAGAGGGCAGAGAGTGGGAGAGAGGTAAATTGTATATGTATATCAGTTAGATAATTGTATATTATACATATGTATTTGTATA